TTCATACCCGTACAATATATATATATATATATTTCCAAATTTCTTCCAGCCTTGATTTATCATACCAACACAAAAAATCAAATTTTTCAAAATACCTCAACATAAGTAGTAGAATGCCAATCGTTATCCAGAACCGCTGTTCTTAATAATTTTATGTTAAACCTATACATGAAAAAAAGAAGAAATTAAATGCAAAAGAAGCCACTGTTACCTTTTACCTGAGTTTTGTGATTTGTCATTTTTTTTCGTAAGGAAAAATATATCAGTTTAGCTATGAATCAAGTAAACATTGATTTAACAGTTTCAACTTTAGCCGTACGAATCAACCTATCTAGACTAGAGTAGGTTTCAGTAACAAGAGCCAAGGGCCACTGACTAGGAGAAGACGAAATATCTTTGATTAGTACATAATCGCCTACGTGAAGCTTTTACGTAAAACCATTTTTTTCTTAACTTGAAGGTGTGACAGGTATTAAGAAATTTGCGTGATAAGCTTCTACATCCTAATTCTTGCAATTTCAACTGAAGTTACATCAGGTTCAGGCAAAACTAACGGGGGCGTCATGATGAAAAAATAAGCTAGAGTTAAGGCAAAAAAGTCAGTAACATTTTACGTTATGGGAGTTAGCAGCCACGAAATAAAAAAAAGCTTTGATTTTGCAAAGTAATATATTGAACTCTACGAACGTGAGAGCTTGTTCTCTGATGATGTATTTGAGATAAAACTTGACTAACTTAACTACAGCTTCTCAAATACCACCAAAATGTGGAGTCTGAGGTTGAATTATCAGTTGCTTTCCAGCCACATTAATAAGTGTACAATTTTGGGTTTATTTATTAGGACTTTTACCAACGAATTCACGTCTTTGACAGGTTTAATAAAATTTGAGCCACAATTACTAAATATATCGGAATAATGTCCACGTCTCATTCTCTGAAATGTTAAAATAAAAGATTCAGATGTGTAATCTTCGGTAACTTAAAAGTGAAAAAAGGTCTGGTAGAAAGACACACAAACACAACTATATAACCCTTTGTTGTTACTTTACCTATTAGACACTCTTACAGAATAGGGGCCAGCATAGTTAACTTCTACTTTACTAAAAGGTAGACTCTGCCAAACTTTCTCGAATTGTAACTTACCCATTGCTGAACCAAATTTGAAGCTTAAAATCGACAACATCTTTCACTTCTGCTAACTTAGGATCAAACACACTGGTGACTATGAATGACTTAACAGTTTTACTGTAGAGTAGCTAACACTCATTCAATACACCTATTCAAAGTGACTTCATGCATGTACTTATTGATTAAATTAGTGAAATAATTGTGTTAATCGAAAATAAAAGAGTCTCTTGCTCCCTCATCAGGAAGAGATTCATTTAATCGTCCACTCTTAGCAGGCCTCCACTTAGAAAAGGCTTTAAATAAACTTTTTTTCTGCTGGGTAGTAAAAGACCTCTTTTTCTAAAAGGTTGAGATTCATTGGCTCAATTAATATTTTAAACATGAACTAATCTCGTGCCAGATTCCAGCCTAATCCTAGAACAGACGTTAAGATGGTCAGTTCCTTAAATTCAACTGGTGATTTAGCTATTAGAGTGAATTGTAAGTCCGCTAGTAGTTCTGAAGAATTTTAGATCTATTTTTGAAGAATAAAACGACCAGCTTTAGTCAAATTCAACAACCTGCTTCTTTGTTGGATACATCGAGGCACATTATAACCCCCTAAAAGAATATCATACATGTATTTTGAATTAAGTTAAGTCTCAGAGCCTATGAGATACTCAACTTTGTATTTAATAGCTAGCTGATTCAGAACTCTTGAAAAAAAAAGAGAAGCTAACGAAGCCATTAATTACAGTTGCAACAAATAAATATGGAGAGGCTTTGACGAATTACTTTGTCACAGTTTTGTCTGATATGGCTAGTCCTCGAGGTGCACGACGTTTTGTCTAAGCACTTGGGCCATGTTGGCTGTAAATGTATGGTAAAACTTTTTCCAAGTACAGATCAAATTTCTGCCAGAGTTTTAAATAAGTTCAGTCCTAAATGTAAAAGCTCGTTAAGAAAAAAACAAGCAGAAGCCTGAAAGGGATTGTTAAACACTACTCTTAGTTTAGTGGAAGTGCTTGATTTCTTTAAGACCACATGATGAGGTGAGAAAAATTTTGCCTTATCGTAACAGCTGTCTTTTATGTGACTCAAGTCAATGTAGTCTTGCATGAATTGGGCGTTCGATTCGCGAAATTGAGGATCTTTGCCTTAATTATTATTTTCTATTGATATCTAACAACATATTAAATTAAAAGGTTAAGGAAGAAGCTTCTAGAAAAGTGCTGTTCACACTGGGTTTTTTCAGGCAAGAGAGGCAAAAAAGAGGTAAAGCATTAAATTTTCTATTACTTACTTTCTCTATCTGAGTAGTAGCATAAGAAAAGTATTTTGATTTTGAAGGCGTGGT